AACAACATCAAAACTTACTAGAATATGGTTTGGATTTATGTCTATGTCTGATAATTTTTGTAAAAAATGTTCAGAATTTTTAATATAGGAAGTTGTATTATTTATTAGGGGATTTAAAATGTTTAAAAGATATTTGGCTAAGGGATGTGTAAGTGAATTTATACTACTAACTATTGGTCGTAACGGAATATTAACTTTATGAATTTTTGGAACTCCGTAAAAATGTGGTGTTTTGCTATTGTGTGGTGTTAACTTTGATCTAACGTAATCTGTGAATTCATGTTTAAATTTTTTTAAACTGTTATAAATTTGTCTTTCAAAACGTTCTGTTGGATTTTTGTTTAATTTTGAACAACTTTTGTCATTTAAAAGTTCATTAATTTTTTGATCATAGATATTATAATCCATGATGACGGTCGCATTACCTTTTTTAAAGACAAACTTTTTTAGGCGAAATACAATATAGCACTTATCTATTGTCTCTTATCTATTTTGTTTGCTTGCAGGTTGGTGATGTTTTGGTTTCGCTTACGCCACGCAAACCCCCAATGGGAGCGACCACAATCGCATCTAGAAGTACGACCATCATGACTACAGCGACTACCACAGCAATGTCGGCTAGACAGTACTCGGGTATCGCGAGTAGCACAGTAACGAACAGTACCAGCACAACAGTCCCATCCAATCTTTTCATGCCTCCGGCCAGTTCTCCACAGAACCATCGTCCCTTATCTCATTCTCCCCCGAAATCTGTGCGATCTCCCGAGTACATTCTGCCGACCTCACATCAGATGAATTACTACACGATCGATCAGATGGCATCGTTCCAACTGGATGCTGAGCGCAGGAAGAGACGATGGAGTGCACCTGATGCCATCGAGGAGCAGGAGTTGGCAAGGCGAAACCGGGTGGATTGATTGCTGAACGTGATAGTTTTACGTAAATCTAAGGACTGATAACCAATTCGCGTTTGGTGGAGCTGGCTGAGTGAACGAAGAACTGCTGCTAACGATCCGCGCTGCCGGCCAGCCTCTAGGTATTCTGGGCACTTTTGTTGCTCGCGAAAAGTTTCAAAGCTAATACCTTCACAGATTCGATTGATTTTTTAAATATTTCGTTTTTCCGCCGAAAAATGGATTTTATTTTTCAATTGTAACCTACTCTCTTGAAATACATGGTGTTCGCACAACGTGCTCTTCTGCTAGCTTCTTGCTATTTTATGAAAGTTCGTAAAATTCTTGTACCCAACCAACCAAATCATATCGGTAACATTTTTCAACAAACCAAATTGTTGTTGTTGTAACTAAAATAATGAAAATGAAAAAAAGGCATTTGAAAATTGAGAAAAAAGCCGAGCAATAAAAACAGCAATTGAAAAAACCCACTTTCAAACACCATGTATAGGCAGGTTAAAATACTACTTGTTAGTACTGCTCTAGTAGTACATAACTTAGTGTCTAATCGAGTCCATTTGCTCAAAATTACACGGATTTTTTTGCATCAAAACATCAAGCTGATCCGGAGAACGGCCGCTTAAAACAACCATTTATCGCCGATGCTTAACAGCAAATCCTTGATTCACTTCTCCACCAAGTTGTAGATGTATTGTGTATAAGATGTTGCTTTTTTACTGATATTAGTAGCGCCTTTTTACAGAGACTTGCATTTCAGCAGCTCCCTTCTTTCACTACACCTTCACGATTTAATTGGGCAAAGTACACCCTCTATCACCATATTTACAAAAGTAGTACAGTTTTAAATCTACATTGATGTTCAAACAACAAAAAGTTCATTGAAATGCGTAGTAAAAAGTTAAAAAAATATTTTACAAGCCACTTCTGCTGGCATATTTGGTTCGTTCACTTTACTACCATTTCTTTGCTTGGAATTATCTGGTTTATTTCAATTCCGCAATTAGTTCAATTATAGACTAGATATTTGGTCGTTCCCAATTCACTTTTCGGTGTTTCCTGCCACATTGTCTAGATTGTTTATTTTAACAAACCAACTTGTATTTAAACACAGGAGAATGGAATATATTTCATTTGGAAATAGACAGCATAGACCGAAGATAATAGAAAAAAATCGGCCAAAAACAACTAAGCTGAGACGTTCTTGGGAACATTTAAGTATCTAGTAACTGAAAAATCAACCATCTTCACTTCAAATTTAAATATGAGCTTGAATGGCAAAAATGGCGAGTTCGTCGCTTTTGAAAATATGTCCCCCGACTGTAGCTGGAGAAGAGAGCTGAGTTAGCTGCAGTATCCTGTTCGAACTCCAACTATTTCAAGCCAGATCAGATACTTTGGGTTAGATCGCATGTTATGTGAATTTATATATATATTTTTGTTAATTCCACTGATAATCCTGAAGAAGACTGTTGGTCGTCTGATTTGGTTTTCGATATCGCGCGTTCGACCCCTTAAGTAGGACAATGTACCCATAATGAGAGAACAGAAGTGCAATCGTAACATGTTTTGTTCATGACAATATAATAGATTAAATGAATTTTAGGGCAAGATGCATTAGAAACGCTGATGTTGAATGCTGATTGAAGATTGGGGGTGGTTCCTTTACTGGTGGAAATTCCTCAACAACAAATCCAATTAAATGTTGCTTACGCTAAATAATGACCTTTTAATACGCTTCGGCCGCGAAACCATAAGGAAACACCGATCAATTTTCCATCGGTCGCAAAATGTAAATATGAAAATTGAAGGAGTATTATTAAGAGTGATATAAAGTTGTAAAGTTAGTTTTTCTAATAAGGATGGAGTTACTGGTGGAGACAGATTGATGTGTGATCCACCTCGATCTCAAATGGCAAGCCGTGTGATAGGAACTGCTTTTATACAAATGTTCTCAAAGATCTGTATAATTTTGCTTTTGTTTGACTGCGCAACTAATTCGACTGGCTGGCAACAGTTGAGCATTTGATTTTTTCTTCTTCTGTCGGGCGTGGTGATTTGCAATTGTTAATAGAAGCAGTTGTCTGGTTTTTAACGCTACAAGCGCCTTTTGGACGCTTAGAGGATGTAACGGAAACCGTAGGCATATTATATTGGAGAACAATCGAAATGCACTGGCTTTAAAACATTGCTCGCCAATATAATACCGATATTGCTGTTCAAATGTTTATAATTTTTCCATGTGACTTCTTGGCTGTGATACAGTAAAGTATATGTGGAAAGTGCACACTTCCCTCCATTTAGCGACTACTGGGGCTGTTGAGAGGATTGAGAGTTTCATTAAAACGCGCGCTGACCATATTCGCTCATGTACAGAATGATCAACCTCAAACGCACATTTTCTCTGTAACATTTGACATTTTCAACTCAAGAAATCCATGCGGGGCGTTCTACAAAATCCAGCAATAAACAAACTTTCAAATCTCCAAAATTATACAGGGTGTCTGCATTTAAAATCCCATCAGAGTCCGCGATGTAGATTGCATTTAGTCAAATGTTGCCTATTTCCAGTAATAAAAAACGTGAAATTGGGCAAAAGTTGGTTTTGTATCGACTAAAAACGCTCGTTCTAAATTAAAAACCCGCTTAGTTTCTAGTTTACTTAGCAAAAAGTGGAAAAGTTAAGGGCAACATCTGACTTAAGCTGCTCAATGCCCATCATCACGAACCATCCAGTGTATATTCCGAGTTTCTATTCACAATCCCGAAAAAATCAGTAATTTTCAACCAATGTGATCATTCCGTATACGTTCAAGCATAGAATCAAAGAAAAAAAATAATCCCACCGTGTAAACCAACCAACAAAGAGCGCTTCGTGCTTCTGAAGATCCTAACTGATGTATATGTGTAAAGTGTCGACTTCTCTGCATAATAACATGAAATACCTCACTTGTGCTTTTTGTTAAATAAATAAATGTATAAAGAAATAAATTTAAAAAGTGTTTGTACACCTACAATCTGCAATTGTTCTGTAGTAGTTTTAAGAAATTGTGCATTAGTAGATAATTTTGTAACATTTAAAAAAAATGATCGGTGTGAGGCATAATGGGCTGTGGATTAAGGTGTAAAGCAAAGAAACAAAAGGCCGATTGGTTTGCCCACACTGAAATGAAAAGAAAATACTGATTTAAAACCCTTTTGTGATTTTATCTTATTTTGTAGTAGACATACGATTTGGCGTTCTGTGATATATCCCTTTAAATGTGAATTTTCTCGCAGTATTTTCTTAAGTTGATCATTGGATTTTTGCAAAATTTATTATGGTTCACTAATTGTTACCTGTTGTAGATCCAAGGTACCTAATTAACTAAAATATTTTTTAAAGGATAGATAAAATAGACAATGATGTTGAAAGTGCCTTGTAAAGTTGGGTGTCGTAACGGCTTCAGAACGCATCCAAATTGGGACGTGCGATGTGGGGAAATGGCGCAGTTTTATCACTTCAAAGAACTGTTTTCAAAATTTCCTTTACGTTGCCAAACCGGACTGTGCATGTTAGAGCTATATACACTCGCGGATTTTTTCAGGCAGCATTTCCACCACATCGTCCCAATAAAATGAGATATATTTATTAGAGGAGATCTGTAAAAGGAAGTCTTCTTATAAAAAAAATGATGAGAAAGAGAGCTATATTAGAAGCAAAAATTGTTCTATAGACATTATATATTGTGTTACAGATATATGTATATGGTGTGCCATTGTTGAAGATGTACATCGCCCTAAAGGGCCGTACAGTCAAAACAAATAAAACCTGATATCTATATTCATTTAGTGTCTTATTCCATCGCGTTCTTTTTCCACCCTTTGAGCATAATTTTGCCTATTTTTTCGTTGGGTTGTTATGCCAAGCTGCGAGTTCTAAAGCAGGATTTCCCAACAGAAAAACGTGAAAAAGCTTCCGAATTTAAACCAGAATTGAAATACAGTTGAGTCCGGATATAACGAACTTGAAAAATGAACGCTTTAAGCGAATTTATTCGAGTTCGCTATAAGCGAATAATAATACAAAACGTGGTGTAATGTAATTTATTTCGTTATTTTTACATAGAGTAGTAGAAGTTAGTAGGTATGACTAAAAGGAACACAAAAAGATAAACAAAATTGAATTTGAAATCTACTTCATAAAGTCTGTAATTTTTGTTTGTACATTTCTGCTGCAAAAATAGATGTTATTTATGTAGTTTTCAAGATCACAAAAAGACTCCCAGATATGATTAGGAACTTGGCGTGATTGTAGAAAATTCCGAGTTTCTGACACTTTTTTTGTCATTTCAGAAATGGTTGGAACAGCATTAGTGTCTACAGTAGAATCAGTTTCACCTAAATCGTCATCTTTCTCATTATCGCTTAAAGGTGTAGATGAGCTTACGGAGTCTATAATTTGCTCATCGGTCAACATTTCTCTTGTAAGAATACCATTATCAATGCTCACATATTCGAAGAAATTGAAATCACTCAATTTGGTTTTAACTTGCTATTCGACAACATTGGGACATCTTCGTCTGTGTCATACTCGTAGTCAGAGTCTTTATACTTTTCTAA